CTGACAAAACAAGGGGCTCAGCGGCCAAGGAAAACAAGCGCGGGGCTTTTCTCAAACCTGGGCATTTCCCCTGCTGCCAAACGGGTGGCTGCGACCAGGAAGAGCTGCCAGTTCCAGCCCGCGCGCCGGTTTCTTCCGCCTTGGGAATTCACCAGGACCGGCTCATTTTGGAGATATTCCCATTCGTTCCTTCTTACATCCCCAAACAGAAGAAGGAAGCCTCGAGATAAGGTTCTGCCACGCAGGAAGCAAGGAAATGTTAAGTGTCTCAGCGTTATCTAGAGAATTTAGAAAGGGGAGTGGAATTCCGTTTCTCCTCCAAGTCAAGCGGAGAACAGAGAATAAGCTCCTAGGTGCATACATGTGTCCCCACGAGCCGCAATTCCCTGTCCTTGGCTGCAAACCACTCACCTTCCATGTCCAGGAATTTGAAGCCCCCACTCACCCTTCATCGTCCCTGCGTCTGCCCAGTGCTGCCACCGACGGGCGTCCGGCCGTCCAGGAGAGAGGGTGTCAGGATTGACTGCAGCTAATCCGGCGCCTGTAACTGAGCACCCGCTGCAGGCCTTCTCCATGCTCCCTCCCACATTAGGTGGCCTGGGGGCAGAGCCTCTCAGTGGTAGGACCTGGCCATCGTGTCAGAATCACCTGAGATATCCGCTTAAAGAGCAGCTTCCTGGGCCCCACCCAGGCCTATGGAGTCAGACGCTCTGGATGTTGGGCCTGAAGATGTGCATTTTAAACGAGCTGCCCGTGGCCCTGGCCACGCTGCTCAGTTGGTTGGAGTGTCATTCTGATACGCCAAGGCTGTGGCTTCCATCCCCGGTCAGGGCACAGACAAGAGTTAATCAACGAATGCATAAACAAGTGCAACAACACATCCACGTTTCTCTCTCTCTCTCTCCCTCTCTCTAAAATCAATAAGTAAAATATTTTCTAAACAAACAAATAAGTAAATAACTGAGCTGCCCAGTTAGTCTTCTTCAAGAGGAGAATTTGAGACCCCCCGTCCCCCCGGGTGTGGGAGTGCAGATCAAGAGTGCCCAGGGCTCCTACCTGACTCCGATGACCCAAGGTATCTCCAAATCCCAAATGAATGACCAAGCCTTCCTGGGGAATGAACTTAGCAGGAGCCAGATCAGTTTCCCATCAAATATGCCCGTGGGTTGATCAAACAAGGCACGCCATTGGACACTGTGATGGTACACTGGTATGAAGTGTATTTCAGGATTTGGGGTGTGCAAGAAATACAGCTGTGTTCTGCACGTAGGACTGAACCTTTATTGGGATTTCCTCCCTTACCTTAGACCAGCCATGGGCAAACTACGGCCCGTGGGCCAGATCCGGCCCGTTTGAAATGAATAAAACTAAAAAAAAAAGACCGTACCCTTTTATGTAATGATGTTTACTTTGAATTTATATTAGTTCACACAAACACTCCATCCATGCTTTTGTTCCGGCCCTCCGGTCCAGTTTAAGAACCCATTGTGGCCCTCGAGTCAAAAAGTTTGCCCACCCCCGCCTTAGACTCTACAGAAGTGCTTTAGATGCCAGCAGAGTAGAATTTGTGGGGAAGGTGCCAAGTTTTTAAAAAATGAGCGCCTAGCAACCCTACCCAGAGGTGAGGGGACTGAGGGCCTCAAGAAGGCCAGAGGCGGCCCCTGCCAGCTTTGCCGTTCCCATCAGCAGCGAGGAGCCAGCGCTAAATCCACGCCTTTCCCAGGCTGCCTTTCTGCCTGTGTCATGGCCGGTGCTGCCTTTTCCCGCCTGTGGCTTTTCTTTGTCCCCAGCCATCGACGGTGCACAGGGCACCTTGGAGAAAACGGCAACGTTCGTCTTGGAAACCCCGACATCCTTGCTCTGGCTCTCGCTCCCTCAGGGCTGTCCCTTCGTCATAAAGGTGAGCATGAATTGACCTGGGCACAGAAGCGAAAGCGGTTCGAGTCCTCGGGGCCCCATTAAAGGAGGAGCGGGCAGGAGCTTCCAGGAAAGGGATGCTCAGCCGGGAAGTGTGGCGCCTCCGAGACCAAGCAGCCCGGTGGTGGGGCTGGGCTGTGCCCACGTGTGCCCCACCTCCTGATTTTTCTCTTGTCTCCCCCACGATGGAGATTGTAAAGGGGCCCACATGAAGCAGAGGTGTAACCCAGCAGGGACACCTCTAATCGGCATGTTACTTGGGGGAAATTAGGTTTATTGGGGAGTGAGAGATAAGATTCAACATCCCCAACTATTCAACTCTCACCCAATTTCCTCTGACACTCATTGCTGATCTCCAACAAGGGGGTGCTCCCAAGGGGGGTGCCCTTCACCTGACAGGAAAGTGCAGGTGAAGAGGTGCAGTCCATCTGTCGCCGGATCCTGCCCCTCCCTGTGCTGAGGTCTCTCTATGACAGGCCTCCATGTCTGTCTGTGACCCTTCAGCAGCCCTAGAGCTTGAAGAGAGACCCCTACACCCAGGCACCTATTCTCAGACCCCCCTCAAGGACTCCCTCTGGGAGAATGCAGGATGACTGTGTTAGGTTTGGAACTTCATACCCTGGTGACAATAATAATGTAACCAGAACCCAAGTTCGATTGCCCGCTGCCACAAAAAACAAACAAACTCACGACACAGGTGCTGGTGAAAAAGGAAAGCGGTTCATTCAAGTGCCGGCATCTCAAGGAGATGGAGGACTCTTGTCCAAGCCCATCTCCCCACCTCAGTGGTTTTCATAAGGAGGGAGAGGGAAAGCTGAACAAAGAAATCAAGGAGGGGGGTTGAAAGGTTCTCTACATTCAGTCCAGCACAGTCCATTCCGATAAGGATCTCAAAACTGGTCACGTGATGGTCTGATATGCATCATCCTGGTCTCTGTCATCCTGATTCTACATTTGAAGGTCAGCAAAACTCCCGGAACAGGGATGACTGAAGTTCAGGGCCTGTATCTTCTGAAGTTAATTCCTAGGATTCTTAGACAAACATGCTGTTTATCTTCAAGCTGCATACTAGTTCGTGTCAGCATTTAAAGAAACAATGTCAAGAGAATGGTGGGGTGGGTTACAATTCCCACTGTTACAATCCCATGTGATAAAAGGCCAGAGGCCATAAGCATCACAACTGGAACGACCGCTCGACCAGTCGCCATGAGGTGCATTGACCACCTCTTGGTCCCTCCGCTGCGGCCCACAGGCTCCGATCGCAGCAAGGCGCTTGGCGGGCAAGCGTCTCAATCAGTGGCAGGTGGGCGGGTGGGGCGACGAGCATGGTCAGCAGCGGTGGGCTACCATACTTAATTTTGTGCACTGGGCCTCTAGTGATAATAATAATAGGTTACCTTTACTCACAAGTCTCATCCACTCATTTCTTTTTTTTAAATATATTTTATTGATTTTTTACAGAGAGGAAGGGAGAGGGATAGAGAGTTAGAAACATCGATGAGCGAGAAACATCAATCAGCTGCCTCCTGCACACCCTCTACTGGGGATGTGCCCGCAACCAAGGCACATGCCCTTGACTGGAATCGAACCCGGGACCCCTTGGTCCGCAGGCCGATGGCTCTATCCACTGAGCCAAACCAGTCAGGGCATCCACTCATTTCTTTTATCCCTCCTTGTGGTATTGGGTTCTCTCCTCGAGTTATCTCAATTTACATTTAAACAATCATCTTGTCCTTTAGCTCCAGAGAGAATTTGCTCTGGAGTCAGGTCTCCTAGGAAGTGTGGCAAAGGGGTCCACAGTGGTTCCCAGGGATGCTCGGCCTGCACGCTCACTTCTTTGTCCTCGTTCTCCCCGTGTGCGGGGTGCTGGGATCCATTCTCACTGCAGCCTCTGTCCTCTGTTCTGGGTTTCCTTCCTGCCTCCGTGTCTCAGGATCCATGAATATCAGCTCTCCCAGCTGAAAGCTGGGGTGATCCTGTTGCTCGGGGAAGAAGAAGGAAGACTGAAGACTCGGGCAGGACAGGGAGGCCCATCGGGGGCCTGACAATAAGAGGAACCAGGACTCGAGGCAGCAGTTACGGGATTGGGTCCTGAGCGTGGCTGTCTGGGTCTCCCCCGCAGCTCTGTGCTTTTGGCTGAGAAGGTAAAACCTGCGGTGTCTCAATGTCCTCACCTTTAAAATGGGGACAGTAAGAGTACCTATTTCATAGACTGCTGTGAAGACTAAATAGATAGATGAATGTGCAAAATACTCAGAATGGGGGCTGGCACATAGTAAGTACTCAATACATTTTGGAAATATTATTTCTAGTAATTTGGCTGTAACTATGCACAGAATCTGAGGATTATTGTGCAGCTTATGACTCATTCCTCTGCAAGACAGTGTGCCTTAAAATGGGTTGACTTGAAAGGTGAGAAAGAGGGAACACATGGTTGGTAACCCATTACTGTCACTACTACCACAATTACAGAGGAGCTGCTGCTCATCAGCAAAGTTGTTTGTTTTTTTTTTAATCCTCACCTGAGAATATTTTTCCACTGCTTTTTAGAGCGAGGGGAAGGGAGGGAGGGAGAAAAAGAGGAGGAGGAGGAGAGAGAGAGAGAGAGAGAGAGAGAGAGAGAGAGAGAGAGACACTGATATGAGTCACATCGGTTGGTTGTCTCTCCAATGAGCTCTGGGGCCAGTGATCGAACCTGCAACCCAGGTGCGTGCCCTTGACTGGGAATCAAACCCTCAACCCTCGGTGCATGGGCCGACGTTCTAACCACTGAGCACACCAGCCAGGGCTGATTAGCAAAGTTTTAAAACCTTTTAAAGATGGGGATTTTACATGATTAAAATGAAAGACCATGCATTTGTGTCATATTAATAGAATTCATGTAAAATGGAAAGGTGCGTAACAAAGGAGACTTGGTTGTGAGGGGCAGGGTTCCTGGTATCATTATAATCTTTAGCATCATGGATATTCCCAGGAAACTTCTGGGATGCTGCTGGGAATTCCTGCCCGCGGGTCTGGAGTGTTCTCCTGTGACTCACAGGAAGCCAGTGGCCTATAAAGGCTCGGGCAGAGCAGGCTCTGCTATTGTCGGCTGACTTGGCACCAGCACTGCAGGAGCAGCAGACGCAGTGGCACGGGGACTCAGAGGGGACGGGACACAGAGGGGACGCACCGGGAATCAGAATCGGACAGGGAAACAACCTCTCCGTAAGTCTCTAACGAGCAGCCCTGGGCCATGCAACTGAGATGACCGCTATGAACAGATATGCAACGGCCTCCCGATGGGATCTTTCTACGTCCAGACAGGCAAAGGCTGTTTTTTCCCTGGGACCGCAAGGGTGCACATTTACAATCCCCATTTACTCATTCAGGCAAACCTCTTTTTCACAGAGACTGTGGCCCTGGAGCCCTTTACCTAAGGTCCCGGGAGGCTGCCGCAAACATCCCTGGAGAATGAGCCGAGGAACCGGCCGCCTGGGTTTCATTCTGTAATTCGTTTTGTGCCTTTTCTCCCCAGAAAAACACCTCAAGTCTGACCTTCGATGGGAAGAACTCTTGAAGCCATGACTGCCCCGCGGCTGCTCTCTGCTCTGGCCTTTGGTAAGCCGATGTCATCCAAGCAGCTCTCCCATCCTCCATCGGGGCACCGGGGCCCTTTCGGACCGATGATGCTTCCTGGTGGGTGGGCACCCTGTGCACCGCAGGGCCGAGCAGCGTCCCGGCCTCCCACACCATGCGGCTTGCCCTGGACCAGGGCAGCTTACCTCTTTGTGCCTCGGTTTCCGTAAGTGCGAGGTGTTGACCATGCACAGCTAAGTCCCAGAGGCACGTGAGGGTCAGGGTCACGGCAGGCACAGCTCCCCGGCAGGCTGGTGGCGCCCGGCAGCGCCTGCTCACTCTGACCACTGTCCCCTGCAGAGGGGTCCTATGGGCTGTGGTGGGAGCAGGCAAAGCAAGTGCAGAGTCAGTCACAGAAGAAAAGCGCAGGAAACGGAAGTTTCTCCGTCCAAACCCCTTCTTACTTTGGAAAAGGCGAGCGAGGTTCGAGTCACCCAGAAGCCCACTGTCGGCCTCCCTAAGAGGGTAAAAGGCCCAGTCACAGCCGTAGAGCTCCGCTGGCAGGAGACAGGGCAGAGCAAGCCTTAGGGACGGAAAGCGGAATGCTGGTCGCCAGGCTGGGGCAGGGGGTGGGGGTCATAGGTCAATAGATTTAAAGTTTCAGTGTTCAGGATGGAAGAGTGTGGAGATGAGTGGTGGTGAGGCCTGCCCATATGACGCTATTTAATGCCCCTGAACGGTGCACTTACCATGTGAGGGTGGCAAACTGCACTTCCCCTCAGTGGAAGGGGGAAGAAGAACAGCGGGGAGGGGAGGAAGGCAGCTCAGAGCCAGACCAGGGCAGGACTAACCGCTCTCCTTCCTTTCACGTTCCGCTCAGCGCTCCTCCTGGTCAGACAGGGCGGAGCCTGGTCCTACAATGTCTCCAGTTACAACATGACCTTTGACGAGGCCAGCGCCTACTGTCAGCAGCACTACACCCACCTGGTGGCGATTCAGAACCAGGAGGAGATTCAGTACCTGGACTCCATACTCAGCCACTCACGCTCTTACTACTGGATCGGGATCCGCAAGGTCAAAGGCCAGTGGGTCTGGATCGGCACCGGGAAGCCTCTGACGGAGGAGGCCGCGAACTGGGCCCCCGGGGAGCCGAACAACAAGCGGGCCAACGAGGACTGCGTGGAGATCTACATCAAGCGGGACCAGGACCGGGGCAAGTGGAACGACGAGCTGTGCAGCAAGGAAAAGCTCGCCCTGTGCTACACAGGTGGGCACGGCTGGGGGGAGGTGCCCTGTGCTACACAGGTGGGCACAGCGGGGGGAGGCACCCTGTGCTACACAGGTGGGCACGGCTGGGGGGAGGCACCCTGTGCTACACAGGTGGGCACAGCGGGGGGAGGCGCCCTGTGCTACACAGGTGGGCACAGCGGGGGGAGGCGCCCTGTGCTACACAGGTGGGCACAGCGGGGGGGAGGCGCCCTGTGCTACACAGGTGGGCACGGCATGGCGGTGGGGGAGGCCTCACCACAAACTGCTGGCACTAGGCAAACACTGATCTCTATGTGATTTAAAAACATATATTTTTATTGATTTCAGAGAGGAAGAGAGAGGGAGAGAGAGCTAGAAACATCAATGATGAGAGAGAATCATCGATCGGCTGCCTCCTCCTGGGGACTGAGCCCGCTCTATCCACTGAGCCAAACCGGCTAGGGTGATGATTTTATGTTCTAAAAGATCTGGTGTTAACGTGTGCTGCTTGAGAAAGTATCTCTTTGCTTCTTTGGGTGAATGTAGGCAAGAACCCATGTGTGCATGTGTCCATAGCTGCGTGCCTAGGTCTGTACGTGTGTAGGGTGTGTATGCACACGCACGAGGCGTGTTTTGGCTCCTTGTTTACCGGTGGCAGGGGAGCCATCTTTCGAATTTGTGATTCAGTGAGTTTCCTAGCCTTGGTGCCAGGGACGGCCGTCCCCCTGACTCCCGTGTGCTGGCACCAAGGGTTCAGCCGCAAGCCTGGAGCTCAGCTCTGGCGCTCTGGGAAGGCGCCTCAGTCAGAACGTCGGGCACTCGTGTCATTGGTGACGTCTGTGGTGCTCACTGTTGACCCTCCTTGCCATGCCTGTGTGCCCGCAGCTGCCTGCACCCCGACGTCCTGCAGCGGCCATGGCGACTGCGTGGAGACCATCAACAACTACACTTGCCAGTGCCACCCCGGCTTCCGTGGCCTCCAGTGCGAGCAGGGTGAGTAGGATGCCACCTGTCCCTCCCTGAGACGGCAGTGCCAGCCGAGCTCGCTGGCTTGGAGCCGGGTCTGCAGGCCTCCGCTTCCCGGGGGGCATGTGGTGCCCAGGGTAGGTGGGCAAGGGCTGAGCCTGTGAAGCCGGACCCTCCAGGTTCAAACCCCAGATTCCCCATGGCCGGGACTTGCGCTCCGAGGCCCAGCTGCCTCGCTGCAAGATGAGTGTGAGAATAGACCTCCTTGGGGCTTGTGGCTGGGATTCTGTGACCCGAGGCAGATGGGCCGTTTTCAGGAAACCTGTAACCCACAGGAGCGGCAGTTCCCGGGGTCCCTCCTCCCACAGGAGCTGAGAGAGGGCAGCACTGACTCGGTTTCCCTTTCCAGTGGTGACCTGCCCGGCCCAGCACGCCCCTGAGCACGGACGCCTGGACTGCACCCAGCCCTGGGGGAGCTTCAGCTACAACGCCTCCTGCACCGTGAGCTGCGAGGAGGGCTACCGGCCCAGCAGCCCCCGGGCCGCCCGCTGCACCGCCTCCGGGGAGTGGAGCGCGCCCCTGCCAGGCTGCGAGGGTGAGTCTCCGAAGCACCCCTGCCTGCCTCAGCTTTTTATCCAACTTGGAACGTTTTCAAGCTCTCGGGAAAGTTCTTTTTGTCGCTGTCTTTTAAGAAAGCTTGTTTCTCAGCCCGTGTCTATGGCCGGGGTGGCGCCCGCTGGGGGGAGAGAGGCTTTTTCTAGTGTGAAAGGGGTGTCCCTGCGGCCCTGGTAACTTGCAAGCCAGGGCACACGCTCCAGGCCGCAGGGGCTCTCGCCTTCTCTCCCTGTTGGACGTCAACAACAGACCCGCGCAGGGCTGTGCAGTCAGCCAGCCTCAGCGTCTCCTTCTCGCTTGGTCTTATCTTCTCGGCCAGAGACCACGACCCCTTCCTCGGGGACCGTGGGGTTAAAGTGAACGCGTGTCTTGTCTGTCACTCCTGTTTCCACCACCACCAGCCGGCTCCCGACCGAGGGTCTCCTTCCCGGCACTGAGGCCCCTGAAAACGCGCTCAGGGGCCCGCGGAGAGATCGGACTGTAGATCAGAGACACTGGGCCCAGAGTAACACTCAGAAAAGAGGGAAATCGCCCCCAGAGAAGGAAAGCCCGTGGGGGTGCCGCCCCCAGGAGTTCCGGGGCCTTGGACGCCCTTGAAGGCAGCCCCTTGCTCCGTCCTAGACGCAAACTGAGCAGGAAGCCGGCTTCTCCTCTAACGCTCATGTGCCTTCCTTCCAACCCGCAGTGGTCGAGTGCCCTGAGGTGGCGCGTCCGGCCCACGGGTCCGTGGACTGTTCGCGGGGCCCCGGCGCCTTCCCGTGGAACACGAGCTGCGCTTTCCGCTGCGAGGAAGGCTTCGCGCTCGTGGGGGCCCCGCGCCTCCGGTGCACCGCGTCCGGGCGCTGGGACCACGAGGAGCCCACGTGCACAGGTAGGCAGCCCCGGTCCGCGGGTCGGCGGGTCGGCGGGTCGGCGGGTCGGCGGGTCGGTGGGTCGGTGGGTCGGCGGGTCGGCGGGTCGGCGGGTCGGTGGGTCGGTGGGTCCGCGGGTCGGTGGGTCGGCGGGTCGGCGGGTCGGCGGGTCCGCGGGTCGGTGGGTCGGTGGGTCGGTGGGTCGGTGGGTCAGTCGGTCGGTCGGGATTCGCGGCTCAGACGCGTTTCCCGCACCCGTGCCGGTACGGCCCCGCCAGCCCTGCTCACTGCCCACTCCCCGTGTTACAGCCGTGACCTGCGGCGCCCCGGACCCCCCTGCGCACGGCTCCGTGAACTGCAGCCTCTCCCCGGCCGGGGAGCTCGCCTTCGGGTCCTCCTGCAGCTTCGCCTGCGAGGCGGGCTTCCTGCTGCGGGGCCCCGCCCGCGTGGAGTGCACGGCGCAGGGGCACTGGGCGCAGCCCGCCCCGCTCTGTGAAGGTGAGCCCGGCCTCCTCGGGCAGCCGCAGCCTGGGAGGTGGGGAGTGTGTGTGTGTGTGTGTGTGTGTGTGTGTGTGTGTGTGTGTGTGTTGCGGGGGGGGGGGGGGGCGGGTCGGAAGGAGACTGGAAGTCAGGCTCAGGCTCGGGGCAGCAGGCTCAGCTCCTGGAGATGCGCCTGGCAGAACCAGCGCAGCCAGCGAGAGCGGGCGCTGGGCCGGCTCCCCAATGTGCTGCTGAGGGACCCTGGGCCGCCGGGGTGGGAGAAGCAGGGTCTCACTCTGAGGTTTCACATTTAACACGGGGGACCACGAGAGCTCCCCGATGCTAGAACCCGTCTTCCCTTCCTCCTGGAAGTGTCAGGGCCAGCAGGGGGAGGGGCGCCCGCTGTCACAGGCCTCAGCAGCAGCATTTAGTCCACAAGGCGAGAGGAGGACGTTGAAAACAGGCAGGTTCCACTCCCAGGTGCTGCTGTCCTCCTAGCCACACACGGCACCGAGCCCTGTCCAGGGACAAACAGCCATGAGCCGCACCCAACTGCACAGCAGACCAACTGAGTGGCTGCCTCCGACTTCCCTTCCCTGGGCACCCTCTATAGGCTCCAGACCCCCAGCTGCACTCTGACCATGCAAACCTCTCCTGGCCCTGGCCCCCTCTTTCTCATGTCAGAGGAGCACCGAGGGCCCGTCCTGTTAGGGGCCGCCCGTCCTTGGTTAGCGCCATGGCCGGCTTTCCCGGGGTAACCAAGAGTTTGAGCCCCCCTGAGCGCGTCCTTGTCCGAGGTGCACTGGGTCCACTCAGCCATGCGGGCCCCTCCTGTCCCGCCAGCGTCTGCTGACCACCGCGTTGGTGTTTCAGCTTCCCAGTGCAAAGCCCCAACCAGGCCCGAGAGGGGCCACGTGAGCTGTGCCCCCAGCGCTTCCGGGAGCTTCCAGCCCGGCGACAGCTGTGCGTTCTCCTGCGAGCCAGGCTTCGAGCTGGCAGGACCCGAGAGGCTCCAGTGCGGCCCCACAGGACAGTGGGACAGCGGGGAGCCCACTTGTGAAGGTACGGTTTTGTTTTTGTTTTCTTTCAAGATTGAAAAAAATATTGAAACCCTAATCGGTTTGGCCTGCAGACCAAAGGGTCCCGGGTTCGATTCCGATCAAGGGCATGCACTTGGGATGTAGGCTCCTCCCCGGCCCGGGCCCTGGTCAGGGCTCGTGCAGGAGGCAACCAAGCGATGTGTCTCCCTCCCATCGATGTTTCTCTCTGCCTTTCCCTCTCTCCCACTCTCCCTAAAAGTCAATGGGAAAATATCCTCGGGTGAGGATTAACCAAAGGAAAATTTAAACGATGTATTTATATATAGAAGAGCCAGGGAGTCGGGGACTTGGAGACATCCGTGGCTGCCTGAGACAAGCGAGCCTCTCATGTGCTTGCTCCCCTTCCAGCTGTGAGATGTGGCCCTGTGCCCCGGCCCCAGAGCGGCTGGGTGCGGTGCCGCCACGGCCCTGCCGGGGAGCTCACCCCCAGCTCCTCCTGCACCTTCGGCTGCGAGGACGGCTTCCAACTGCACGGGGCAGCTCGCCTGGAGTGCACGGCTCGGGGACAGTGGACACAGGAGGCCCCCTCCTGCCAAGGTCAGACTGAAGTCAGACTCGAAGGAGTAGATATGGGTCAGTCCTCACACGTTGCCCCCAGGGACTTGAGCCTCATTTAAAGTGGTGCCTTGCTCTAGCCAATTTGGCTCAGTGGATAGAGCATCGGGTTGCAAGCTCGATCCCCAGTAGGGGGCGTGCAGGAGGCAGCCGATTAATGATTCACTCTCATCATTGATGTTTCTATCTCTCTTTCTCTCTCCCTCCCTCTCCAAAATCAATCCTATCTAAGAAAGAGGTGATATGCTAATTGACCATCATGCCCTCACAAGATGGCAGTGCCCAGTCCCCTCAGCCCTGCCTCATCCAGCCTCAGTCCCTCAGCCCCTTCAGCCCCGCAGGGGAAGGCAGTTGGGGAAGATCATGCCAGCAGGGGAGCAGTTAGGGGGTGATCAGGCAGGCAGGCAGAGTGGTTAGGAGCCAGCAGTCCCGGATTGTGAGAGGGATGTCCGACTGCTGGTTTAGGCCCACAGTTGGACATCCCCTGAGGGGTCCCAGATTGGAGAGGGTGCAGGCTGGGCTGAGGGACACCCCATGCCCCCTGCACGAATTTCGGGCCTCTAGTAAAATATAAATTAAAAAAAATGACGCCATGTCCATAAGTCGTGCTTGTGCACTGCCTGTCCAGCCAGGGTTAGGAGCTTCCAGGGGATTTTCCTTAACCTCTGCCCGGTCCTTCTCCTGCAGTGGTGCGATGCTCACACCCGGAAGTGCCCGGCAAGGTGGCTGTGAGCTGCGATGGGGAGCTCGTGTTCGGCGCTGAGTGCACCTTCACGTGCCCCGAGGGATGGACGCTCAATGGCTCGGCGGCTCTGATGTGCGGTGCTGCAGGACACTGGTCCGGGATGCTGCCCACCTGCGAAGGTGAGGCACTTGTTGACGGGGTTGACGGGAGGCGAGAGTGAAGATGGGGGTTATCTGGCTAAAATAATGACGATCCATTACATCCAAACCGGAAAGGCCGAAGGGTTGGCCAGGTTACTGAGCTGTGAACATGCAATTTAATGGGAATATAGAGAAAACAGAAGAGGTGACATGCTGATAGAATGGGTGGAATATTGACCATCATAAAGGGAGAGCTGGGGGGGGGGACGAGAGAGAGAGAGAGAGAGAGAGAGAGAGAGAGAGAGAGAGCGAGCCCGGGGTGCATTGTGTGCCGGGAAAGACCGTGGCAATGAGTTGTGCCAGGCTGGGCAGACCTCCCAGGCCTTTAATGCAACGCCTCCTCCCACATACGAACCACACGGCTCCTCTGCTCTGTGTCCTGTAATGTGTGTACAAAGCAAAGGGCAGATCCACAAGCAGTAGGACTTTCAAGTCAATTCCTCTCGTGACGGCTCTTCCCTGTCTCCGCAGCCCCCGCCCCATCCAGCCTGCCCCTGGCCATCGGGCTCTCCGCTGCCGGGACCTCCCTCCTGACGTCGGCGTCGTTCCTCCTCTGGCTCCTGAAGCGCCTTCGGAAGAAAGGTGAGGGCCTGTGCACGCACCCCAACCCTGCACCACGCTCTCCACGCGCGACATCAATAGTCAGCGGCAGTCATGTGGAGCAGCAGTCTTAGGGGAAGAGTTCATAGCACCCAAGTGGGAAGTTTTAGGAAATGTGTGTCAGTTGCACTCACATTGCACGACCATGGGCAGCACCACACGTGCTGGGTTCTGTGGCCTCTGAGGCCGTGCAGAGGCCGCCAGGGCCCGTGCTCCCAGGAAAATGGGCAAAATGTCTCTGAAAATGTGTTTGGGGAACAGGCTTCCATGGTGGAATAAATCGGAGGGATGCATGAAGCATCTAGCCACACTTGTGGTTTGTTTGGCCTATGGAGTACTGAAAACTTTTTTGAATTAAGTTCTGATTACAAAAAAGGAAATTTCCCATAAGACCCGGATTCGGGACTGGTCATGAAAAAGTGGACCCTACCTCTGGCAAGCCGAGCTTGTGGCTGCGGCTTGTGTGGGAAGCTAGGCCCCTCCGTGAGGTCCACTTGCACGCAGCCCTACTTGCCGCCAGGCTGTGCTTGCGCTCTGATGACATGGGGCCCCCAAAGGTGTTGCGTGTGCCACTCTGAGGGTGAATCAGACTGTTTCTGGACTCGATATGTCCTTCGAAGTCACTGAGTCCAAATTACGGTTGTCTTTTTCTTGCAGCAAAGAAGTTTGTTCCCGCCAGGTAAGTTGCGCTCTGCACCCCGCGTGCCACGGAGCACCTGCACGTCTTTCTCTCTTCCCGTCGAGAGCGGTGCCTCACCCAGTGTTCTTGTGTGTTCTGCAGCAGCTGCCACAGCCCTCCATCAGATGGATCCTATCAGACGTTCATTTAAGTCCAAAAGCAGCCAGGTAGGCATTGAAATCACATGCGGTTTTGAGAGGAGACACCCTCTTTACATGTTCTGTTGTTCCTTGAGCCCCCCAAATCTGCCAGTTTCTAGAGTGGGGGCGAAGGGTCACCCCTTCAGGGGATTTTATGGACTGTGGTCTCATGTGTTTGTAGAAGGAGAGGAAAGGAACCAGGCTCTGGCCACATTGAGTCAGTTCATTTATGGAAGTTAATAATAATGATGATAATAGCTAATAATGATGATAATAGCTAACCTTTATATGGCACTTACTATATGCTAGGAACTGTTCTGAGCTAGGAATTCTATGCGATGGGGCTATTCCTATATTTATTATTATATTGATGGAGAAAATGAGGCACAGAGAAGGTAAGTAACTTGCATAAAATCTCAAGGCTAGTAAGTGGTGTGGCCAGGATTCATACCCGGGCAGTTTGGTTATAGAATTGGTGGCCTTAACCACTCTGCTCTGTTTTCTGAGAATTTGAAAGGGTCAAGTCTCCTCCACATGCTTTTTAAAAAATTAGTGCCTTTTGTGTGCAGTTTTAGGTTCTTAGGAAAAGTGAGCAGAAAGCACATACTTCCAACATACCCTGACTCCCACCCCCCATTTCCTCTATTATTAACATCTTGTGTTAGTATGATATTTTGTTATCATTTGTGGGCTGACATTGTCACATTATTAACTAAAGTCCACAGTCTTCATTAGGGTTCAGTCTTGGTGTTGTATATTCTAGGGGTTTTGACAAATATATGACACAAATCCACCCTTACAGTCTCATACAGAATGGTTGCACTAAGCTAACGGAGTAGGATTCGCTGTTCATGTTTGCACTACCCCAGTGAGAGTGCATACAGTGAACAGAAGATGAATTCTGTTGTCACTCTTCTTATGCAGAATATTAAGTGTCCTGATGATCTGCACTCTTGTACCTGCAGGAACACAGGTAAAGGAAGGAATGCGAGCGATGCCCTGAGGACGGCAGAGAGTTCTCCTTGGATATCAGACCTTTGTCACCTACTGCAGCTGGACTGCAGTGCCCCCAAGAACTTCAAAGGACCAAAGTCCCGTGGGCAAGGACAGCCTGCCAGCAAAATGACTCAATTTCCTTTGTCCTGTTCTAAGGATCTGGAAAGTGCTGGATACAGGGGGAAGGATATTCTCTTCCAGACAAAAGCAAAGAGCCCAAGGCTCTGGAGTCTCAGAACTCCTTTTCTAGCTCTCCCTCACTCCTGATGAAATCTGGGTGGAGAAACCCAGTATTTTGTGACATTATTTCTTTTGTCCTTCATCTCTCTATATAAAAGCCTAAGTGACTAAATGATCAGTTGACCAGTTGCTATCACGCACACTGACCTCCAGGGGGAAGACATTCAACACAGGAGCTGCCCCCTGGTGGTCAGTTGGCTCCCACAGCGGGAGCATCATCAGCTGACTGACCCAAACCAGTGGCCCACCATCCCAGTGGCAGCCACTTACCCCCTCAGTAGTCCTGCAGGTCCAATCTCCAGAGAATGGACCAGGCACTGATGGACTGGTGCCTCCAGCACGATCCCGATAGCGCCCCTGGCCTCCTGGAAGTCAGCTTTGGGCACCGTGGCCTCTTCCCCTCCCTATTTGCTTCACAAGGAAGAAATTATATAAAAGTGGCCACCGGGTGGCTCCTGACAACCAGTGGGAACATCAGCAGAATGGATCCAGATGCTGGACCAGCAAGAGCATCCCGTCCCATGGCCCGCCTGGAGGGCTGATCACATCCCGGCCACCCACCTTGGGGAGGGCGCCCGATCAGGACTGACTGGGTGTGAGCCTGCAGCAGGTGCAGGGGGCCAGGATGAGCGGGAGCAGCAGCGGCAGGCAGGAGCAGCAGGCAGCGTTGGACTGCCGGTTTCAGCCCAATCCCTGCAGGCCACCCTGAGGGACCCCAGCCATGCATGAATTGGTGCACCGGGACTCTAGTAGTGTTATAACTACTGGTTACAAAGTTGCTGTCATGGGCTGAATGAAAATTGTCAAAAGTTTAGAGGAAACAAATTGTACAAAGATAGTCTGTTACTGACATGAAAAAAGACAATAACCCACACCTGCGTGGAGATTACTAAACTAATCCTGGACCACTTTGTTCCCTGTGGGATCAGTGCTCCTTAAAGTATTCTTAGAGGTAGTATTCTTCTGACTTGCATGGAGCATGCATTCCATGATTCTTAATCCAGCACTACAAGTGTTGTAGGCACTTTAACATATGTAAGTGTTAGGACTTTCCTAGATCACCACCTCTTTATTTATTAACAAATTCTAATGTTGCATCTGCAGTGGCTATATTTCAATAAAGGGCAAATCCTATCCCCTGACAATGTACAATGGTAACCAGTGTACATTGTTAAGTTTTTTCCTACAGTTGCCTTTAAAAAATGGAGTAGTACCGGGTGAGTAAAAGCTAAGTGGCAGACGCTGTGCACGGTCAGTTAATTTTTCAGAAACTTGTGGTTTCCATGATGAAAAACTTCCAGGAGACCACATGTTCTGATTTGGTAAAAGCATACATGCAAATGAATGAAGGGACACTTTCGTGAATGTCTTTGTTGAAAAAGCACCCACCTGTAGGAATAAGGATGTGCTTTGTATCCCCCAAAAGATGTTTGTTGGATGTGATGTGTCAGCATACAGTTCTTGACGAGTGCAAGGCCCTAAGTCCACGATAGGACCCCGCCCGTGTCCTGGGTTCACCCAGCGGGTTTTCACAAAGTGAAGATGCCGAGTAATTATTTCCCAGTTGTTTTCTTGTGTGTTAGGCTGTTCTTAAAGGGAGGGAAGCCTGGATGAGCAAGTATTTATATTCGTGTAGACAGCAGCTTAAAACTCCTAAGGAGTCCAGTTATTGATCGCTGGCCCTAAGAAGTGCTGTCAGTGACTGCAAGGCTGCCTCAGCCTCACAGGTGTGAGGGTCAAAGCTCCCTCACACCCCCGTCGCCTCTGCATGTGCCGAGGAAGCCACGCTCAGAGGCGCTTTGGCGCTTTGGCCCAGGCAAAGCCAGAAGTAAGAGGAGAGGCGACAGGAGTCAGGACGGCAGGGGTTTTGAGGGCCAAGGACTCTGGGAAATAAGAGAAAGAGGATGCATGTGAAATGTGCGATCAGACTACATAGGAAATGAAGGACCATTGTGTCTGAAACTGTTCCAATGTAGATGTGTATGTTATTAAGTTGGAAATAGCTGTGTGAGATGTAAGTGTGTCTGTGTTTTATAAAGTATTTTAAATTATGATTTAAAATATTTTGTAATTTTTAAAGTATGTATTTATTTAAACTTATGTCATACTTGTTGTAGTTGACGTGGCACTATAAAGTTTGGTAATAAACATGTTTATATGTATCTCTGTGCCCGGCCTCTTTCTTAACAATTCTGTGCTATTTGGGTAAAACTCACACACCATAAAATGCACCCTTTTAAGTGTACAATCCAATAGTTTTTGTATATTCACAAGATCCTGCAGCCATCCCCACATGTAACTCCAGAGCACACCTACCTCCCCCAAAAGAAACCCAGTACCCACCAGTAGTCACCCTCCCTCCCCACTCCCCGCACCCCAGTCCCTGTGAACAGGACCAGTTTTGCTTCCATGGACTTGCCTGGTCTGGGCATTTCACCTAAGTGGAATCGTGTGGCCTTGTGTCTGGCGTCTTTCACTCAGGATAACGCATTCAAGGCTGATCCACTTCGTAGCATGTGTGGGACTTCATTCCTTTTTTATGGCTGAGGAATCCCCTATTGTATGGCCATGCCACGCTTTCTCTCCCCATCCGCCAGCTGGTGAGCATCTGGGTTGCTGCTGCACTTTGGCTGCTGTGAACGATGCTGTTATGAACGTCTGGTACATGTTTTTGAGTAGACTTATGTTTTCAGTTCTCTCGGGCGTGCAATTGCCGGGCCATATGGTAACTCCATGTTTCATTTTTTGAGGAGCAGCCAAACTGTTTTATAAGAGGGCCGCACCCTTTTACCTGCCTCCCGCAGTGCACGAGGTCTCCAGTTTCTCCACACCCATCCAATACTGGCTACTATTGTCTGTCTTCTTGGCTATCACCACACTCATGGGTCCCTGCACCCATACTGCACAGTTGTCTGAAAAATATGAATGCTCTAGAAAAGGTAAGGAAGGTCAATGGAACAAAGTCCTTATCCTGGAGGCTTTGCCTCTTGCCCACCTCTGATCTCAAGTTGCTCAAGTTAAACAATTCACCTTCATTTACTCTGCAGACCTGTTTTCCTCCAGGCCCAGGCCCAGCCTAGTTTCTCTGTTCCCCCTTCTCCCCCAAAAGGTGTCTCCTGTCTTCTGAAAGGTGTCACCCCACGAGGCCTGGTGTGTGCCAAGCGGAACACCTCCTTGTTATCAAAGACTCAAAACATCTGACATTTCTAAGAAAACGTGGTTTGATTGTTGACTTGGTTGTCCAGGCGGAAAACAATTGTGGTTATGGCACTGTCATTGGCTACAGTGGGTTTCACTTTGGTTTTATACTTTATCTTAGCTCAGAAGTTCTACTTAAGAGAAAAAGTAAAGAAAAAATGAAAACCAGGCTAGATCCTGCTGGTGAGGCTGTTTCCCTGGAGACCAAGATAGCAGCCCAGAAGGCAGCCTGTGACTGTTGGCTTTCCCGGCACAGGGTGACGCAGCAAACTGCAAAAACGTGATGTGTGCAGCCCGGCCGGCGTGGCCCTGTGGTTGAACATGGACCTATGAACCAGGAGGTCACAGTTCAATTCCCGGTCGGGGCACATGCCCGGGTTTTGGGCTCCATCCCCAGTGTGGGGTGTGCAGGAGGCAGCTGATCAATGGTTCTCTCTCTTTCTCCCTCTCCCTTCTTCTCTGAAATCAAAAAACACATATAAAAAAAGAAAAACAAAAGGCAACAACAAATTAAATGTGTGCAGAAGGAATGCAGGGGCCCGAGGACATGGACATGGGCCAGTGAGAGCACAGAGTGAGGAGGGGAGCAGCTCTGGGTTGGCAGGTAGCTTCCATGGAAGACAACACACACCTATGAGCTCCAGAGTTAGACTAAGTGTCCACCTGCCCCCCAGACCCAGCAGGACCACCCCTCCCTGCCACCTCCTTCCTCAGCCAGAGTGGAAGCCCCTCCGCTGGCCTGTCATCTTCTAAACAGCTCACCAGGCGACGCCTCCTGACCCACCTGCTCTCCTTCCCAAGCACCGCCTTCACCCTCTGCACTGCTCCCACCAATCGGCCAGCCCCCACCCTCCAGTTCCTCTCCAAACCCCTCTCACCCTGCTGTCCCCACAGCCGGGCCTGGGACAGGCCCCACAGATCTCTCCAGGGGACGTCTGCTCTCCCACGCCCACACCTCAGTGGTGGGAGGCAGGGGTGGCCTCCTTTATGGTGAGAGTCTCTTACTGATCTTTGTTCTTCTAACCCATTTTAAAAAATATATGTTTATTGATTTCAGAGAGGAAGGGAGCGGGAGAGAGAGAGAAACATCAATGATGAGAGAGAATCATTGATCGGCTGCCTCCTGCATGCCCCCTACTGGGGGGCAGGGGGATGAAGGCTGCAACCTGGGCATGTGCCCAGACAGGAATCAAACTGTGACCTCCTGGTTCATAGGTTGATGCTCAACCACTGAGCCATGCTGGCCCGGCTTCTAAAAATGAAAAGAAGAAGTAAAATAACCCTGTTTCCTTGGAGCACGCGACACCGAGCTCACCACCGCATTGCAAGGACTCCCAGCCCCAGCCCCTGGTCCTCCTCACCCTCAAGCACTCTTGCATCCTGTGTGACCTCACCCAGGTGCACCGCAGTCCACTGTCCGTGTTCTCCGTTCTCCATCATTCTTCTCCCTCCGCTTGGCTGCCTCTCCCGGACACGGCCTCACCCATGCCGTCACCGAGCTGCATGCACTCTAGAATCACAGGCGCTCTCGGGTCCGAGGGGAAGTCTGAAGGTCAGTTTGGTGCATGTAAAATTGGGAGGTGGAGTAAACCACTAATGGAGATATCGGGAAGGTGTCTGATGGGCACGGGGGTCGTTCCCGGGGCAGAGGAGTGTCCCGGGTGGAAACACACATCGGAAGTGAGTGGCATTTAGACAGCATTCAGGTTCAGAGACCGGGTCGGGCCATCGAGTCCACGGGGTAAACGAGAGAAGAGCAGCGAGCGCTGGGGCACCCACAGGCTTGGGGGTCAGGGAGCTGAGGGAGCATCGACCAATGAAATGGAAGAACAGTGGGTGAGGGGGGAACCAGAAGCCGGCTGGCCGAGAGAGGTGAGGACGGAGACCTGGCTGTGGGCTTAGTAAAGCGAGGATCCAGGGCCCTGAAAGCCTGGCTGACAAGGTCAGGAGAGAACGGGAGGGGAGCACTTAGAAATGCAGCCTAGACACTGCTTTGGGCTGCAGGTGGAGATGGGCACCTCGTGGGTCCCCTCGGCCCCGGCTTGTGCCCATGTAACACGCTTTCCGAGCTCCTGCCTGGAGGAGAGCCGCTCAGTAACCACGCGCACAGGCTCGAGTGGGGCTGGTCCCAAACCCCAGGTCTCTTCCTTTCTTACCTTCCCGGGACTTTAAAACCAGGGGTAGTTATAGTACTTACTGCGGGGTTTTGTAGTTAATCTCTATAAAGATTAATAAGGCAATGAACATGGAGTGTTGAGATCTACAGCTATTGTTATTATTGTCTTTTCAAAAATGCAAATCCGATTGTCAGTGACTCCCCCTTCCACTGCCCCCCCTATTTCCTGTCCTGATTTCATATGCAGTGTATCTCCTTCACATGACACACGTGGGGGTACAGATAAGGGCATTTGTAGGCACCCAAACCCCGAAGGCAGAAAGCCAGAGCTGCTCTGCAGGTCAGGGCTTAACTTTAGGGGTGCCATGGACAAGGACGTTCACTAGGGGGCGAGCAAGGGGTTGGAAGGCACCTTCAAGCAGTTACAGGTGAGCCCTAGGCAGTCTAAGGGACATCATAATGTCTGAAGTACTTTTTGATTGTGTGGTGTTTGCAGTTATCAGGCGCCTCTACCATGGATAGCAAAGAGTTGGCCCAGTGTTGATAGAAAAAGAAAGAAGAGAGACAGAGAGATAGAGAGAGGGAGACTGGGAAAGAGGGGAAGAGGGAGGGAGGAGGGGGAGGAAAGGGAGGAAGGAGAGAAGGGAGGAAGGAAGGGAGGAGGAGGGAGGCTGGGAGGAGAGAAGAAAGGAGGACAGGGAGGATCTAACCACAGCACCTTGGTCAGACCTCTGTTTTTCTAGGGGAGGTGACAGAGGTCAGGAAAGAGGTGGGGAAACAGGAGCTAGAAGGGGGGGCGGGGGGTGGGGAGGAGGAGGATGTGAGACTGCGTTAGAGAAATGAGAGAAAGCAGCCCTTCTGGGACACTGGCACAGTGAGCAGCGCAGCCTCGCCGGGGCCAGGACAGGAGCCCCCGGAGCAGAGCCGGGACGTGGGGCCGCAGAGGGACCGGACCGGAACGGTGCAGACATGGTGAGCTCTCAGCCTGGGAGGCCTCGGGTGCTCTGCAGAGCCTCTCCTCGGGGTTGCAGAGGCGGGTGGCAAAGGACAGGAGGCAAAGCATTTCCTTTTGGGGTTGAAAAGCCAGGAGCTAAACCTGCCGGGGCCCCTAGCATCCCCCTCTCACGGTGCTGACTCCCCCTCGCTGTCTCGGCTGAGACTCGGGGCTCCTTGGTTGCAAGGAGCAGCCTTGTGGGCAGACAATGTGTGGTCTCGCACCCCGAGTTGCTCAAAAGGCATCTCTTTTTACTTGAAAGAAATGGAACTGCTTTTCTTTCTGGTGTCTGCCTGGCTGTCCAATTCTTTTCGGAATTGGAAGCATCATAATCAAGTGGGAGATTTTAACATTCAACCTCAATGTCAACAGCCCATTAGACACCAAGGGACACTTTAAAACAATCCATACTAAGGGTCAAGTGGTTCCATGTAGCAGCTGAGCAGAGAAGAGGGTACAAAACATTCCTGAAATATAGAAAAAGTCAGAAGATTAACGAGCAGCACCTTGAGGCTAAGGCATGAAAATAAAGGAGCCACGTATCGGTTTTGAGGCAAATTTAATGCTTCTCTTTCATCCGAGTCTGAGGAATCAGTGCCTTCGGCCGGGTTGCGTAAGCCCATGTGTTTCGATTTGAACTCTGGAGAAGGGGTTGGAGCCTCCTCAAGGGGCTGTGCCCGTGGGATTTAAGAGGGTACGTCTTGTGTTTTATCTGCAGCCATCGCCACAGAAGCATTGGAGCTCTCAGAGGGCCTTGGAGCTGTGGGTGTGGACAGCGCTCTGCTGGGGTACGTTCTGCGATTTGTGTATTGCCGAGCCTTCGTTCACGTGTTTGCTTTTCTTAAGTGTCCACT